CCACTACTATATATATATATATATATAGAGAGAGAGAGAGAGTCCCAGGAAAGCGGGGCGAAGGCCGTTGGACGTTTGGTAATAAGGCGCCCCAACATATATATATATATATATCTCTTCTGGCTCATTGGGAATAGCGGACACCACGGAGCGGTAGGAAGGAACCCACGCAAAGCAAAGCAAATAATAATAATAATAATAATAATAACAAGTTTTGTGTGGGGGGGGAAAACAGACTGTGTGTATAACAGTGGCAATAGTAATAGGGAATCCTATCAGTTTCTTCCCTAGCCTTCCTGTCCGCTGCGTATTCATTTGGCCGTTGTTATATTTCTTTTGTGAGCAGGGGCGGGGCTCTTTTTTGTTTTTTACTCTCGTGTGTGTGTAATCGCACTCTTTCAGCGTCTGAATTGCGGTTCCTCCGTTAGGATTTCCTGTTGTTTGGGTGTTCCTGTTCTTGGCTGCACCACCTGTCATGCGGTTTGCGGAGAAGCAGCACTACGAGAGCGCCCCGAAGCGCTCCGACGTGCGTGTCTCTGCTGCCGCTCCCTTGTGGCGTGCTGCTGCAACAGAGTGCCTTACCGCACTGCTTTGTGACGTACAGTCACTTCGACTTCTCGGAGTGACGATGGAGCTACTTTACTGTAAAAGTCCCAACAAGTCGATGCAGCAAATAAATGTGGATGAGCATGAAAACGTTTCCGCCGCTCTCTCGCCGCAGAATTTTTTCAATGGTTTCATATGTGTTAAAGGCCGTGTGATGTGTGAAATGAACCAACTTCGTAGTCTCAGTCTGAGGTTGTGTGAGCTGACAGGCGGGAATAGCCAACTCTCCGCGCACTTGCTTGCAGCCCTGTATAGATGGGAGGCCTCTGTAGGAATTTTTAGACGCGACGACAGCTTCCATTTCGACCGCGCTGAGCTAGTGGCACTGCTGGATGACGTCACTGTTCACTTGGAAGGGGCGTTGCTGGAGCTGTGCAGCGATGGGAATCCGGCGGCTGCCAACAACCCAGCTGTAGTTGACTTCACAAAGGAGGCGGATAAAGCGCGGGGAGAGAGCATCGGTGGGACCTCGCTTATCAGCGGCTGGTGCGACGGCTACAGGAGGTACGATGCGGCAAGTGCATTTCTTGCACTGAGTAGATGGCTAGGACTTGACGTGAGTGTTATTCTCTCCAACACCGTGTTGCGCTCCCTGTTGGTCGTCTTCACTGTTGTGGTTGGTCTTCCGGTGGCGCGAATTCTCTTGGATCTACACGCACTGAGCAGCGCAGGCTCCAGTATTTTCTTGGGGAGTGACCGTTCTGCTGTGCTTGCGCCATTCCACACCATGAATGTGGTTTGGACTTTTCTTTTTGCCTTGCAGTTGGTGCTGTTGCTGGGAGTGGGATTTGTCTTCCTCATCCTGCTCTCCAACGCCTCCTCCAACCTTGCCCATGCTGCAATCTTGCAGGCACTCTGCGTGCAGGGGACCACATGCGTGCGGTGGACCGGTTCAAGCCCCTCCGGCGTCAATGATGTGTTCAACAAGGAGGAGGATGCGGGGGGTGATGAGGATGATGGTGAAAAAGACATGAGTTTAACTGCACGAAATGCAGTCAAAATAGAGAAGGACAGTCACCTACTGTTTCCCGCAACGCACCATCCGTGTGGTGAGGCATATGCCACGACTTTGTGTGGTGGCGCCTCGGACGGAAGTCTCCCGCAGCAGTGTCCGTATGGTCATTTTTGCTACGACCAGGCGTTGTGCGCGCTTCCGGTGGCATCATCTGCGGGGTGTCACGGGCCCAAAACCACTTTACCCGACACCGTGGAGAGTGAAAAGAAGACGTTGCCACCATCGCCTGTGGTTGGCGACGGCCATAGTTTACTTTACCTTCGATGCATGCAGGCGGAGCGGGAGTCCCAAGAGTTGTTCACTGAGGCCCCAAGTGGCGTCGGTGACAAATACAAAGACTCCTCCCCCTATGCTAAGCCAGACGGCACTGCAAGGATTTGTTGTCACATAACAGAAAATTTACAGGACTGCGTCTGCCCGTTGCTCATTGTAGAGTACGTTCCTCGTGCCAAGGCGTCAGGTGAGAATTTCAAACCCAGGGAACTCAGAGAAAGGTATCCTGTCGTCTACTGCAACCTTCCCGCTCTTGAACTGCTCCACTATCGTTGTATAACGGATCTCGCTGGGAAGGACCTTGAGGATGTCTTTGGGTTGTACCGCAACCCAAGAAAGTTGTCGCATTTGAAGCGGGGTAAGCGGGAGAGTATAGTCTCCGCGCTCCCAGCACTGCCACAGCGGCAGCGGCAGAACTCCCAAGGACGTTTTATTTTTGTCCCATTACCACCCTCAAAAGAGCAGGGACAGTGGGAGAAGAGTCAGGCTGCGGAAAAAGTTGCCGATCTGCGTTGGCTTTTTAAAAACGGTGTGGAGGAGTTGCTTATGGCGCAGGCATTGCATAACTCCTGCCACTTTGACGTGTATGCCATGAGCATTGGCAACATCACCTTACCCTTCTCCTTTTGTGACGAAAGGCAGTCGCTTGCCCCGCCACCATCCACGGAAAGAATGTACCTGGTGTTGCTGTTCCTTCGTGAAACCTACAAGGAGGCGAAGGATGCTCCATGGAAGGTCAGTAACAGTTACGTTTGTGGAGAGTCCGCGCCGCAGCCAGCCACTGCTCACGAGTCTCCAATGGGTGAACTTTTCAGTACTCCGATGCAGAAGCGGGCTTCTACTGCAAATTCTGTGACACTCAGCCTTTTCCACCATCGCGGATCATTGATGAACGACGGCGAGCCGGCTATTAAGGACCCCCAGGTCGATAATTCACGACGTAGACGCAGTACACGGACTGCACCCACCGGTCATCCACGCACTAAACGTCATTCTACGGTAAAATGGCATTCGTCAACCATATCAGCGGAGCGAGGCCATGCTGTGGATCAAGTCACAGCGCAGCTTCTACAGGAAAAGTTGAGTAGTCTGCTTGCCGTTCATGAGGTGAAGCTCTCGCCGTGTGTGCCAGAGACCTTTTTAATTAACTTTGCTGCCATCATGATCTTTGTGAATTGGGTGTTAAAGCGGTACAAACGCGTCAACTGTCTCGTGGATTCCGAAAATATGTTTATTCTTCTTAAGTTGAGGGCAATCGACGATGTGCCGCTTCTGAAGAGTAACAGTCAAACGTTTTCTGAGGAGACGATATTAATGTCATCTGGTTCTGGCGTCACTAACGGCGAAAGTCGAAGACATTCCTCTCATGACGCGGGGGTTGAGTCGCTTCTCTCAGCAAACCTTTTGGAGTACCTGCGCGTTTGCGATGCCAGCATTCAACTCACGGCTAATGGATGTACACTCTGTTTCCCGTACACCACGCAGGAACGACTGGCACTCATTGAGGATGCCGGGACCCTGCAACTCTCTACACTCAGAGGACTATCACTGTTTGGTGTGACCGTCACAAACGCCTTGACCGAGGACGCGGTGGCGCAGACAAGTGGAAAGATGATTCAACTGCAGCAGTACACAGCTGCGGAGAAGCCCTTCTCTGAGGCGGTGCGCAAGGCCAAACTGGGGCCCTCGCGAAGGACCGAAGAAAACACCGTAAATGTTTCATTGAATTTAAAAAGGGAATCCGCTTCTAAACCCGATTACAACAGTAGCGCCTCGGGAGCTTTTGCTGCCCCGTTAGTGCAGCCTGTGGAGGAAATATCAGGAATCTCAGAGGGGAGCATGGCGCGGTTGCCTCAGATATTCAGTAATGAGCATTCCAAAACGACGGATCCCACTGCACACGCAGTAACGATGGTGAGCGCACTAGAATCAAGGTCGGGATTTGACATTAGCCAGGGAGGGAGTCCGGAGTGGTTCTCCGTCTCTACTTTTGCCCGATTTCATAATATCTTTGGTAGGTCCCTAGGCCGCAGCTGGAGTGACCCTATGGCGGCAAGTGTTTCCAGTCAAAATCTTCTTGGTAGCAAGGTCACTGGTTATTCTAAGCGTTATTTGCACTTTTTTTTGTACATGGAGGAGAATCGAGAGGATGTAGTGCAGCATCTTTGGTCCGGAGGTCATTCCGCGACGGTGGTGAGCGATCCAGTGGCAATGAAGCGGTATCTCTTTGTTGGCATGGACGCCTTTGACGTAGTGTTTATTGAGTGGTCAGAAAAGCTGGTGACGCCGGAAATTCGTGAGCTTATTGCTGAAAACGCGGGAAGTAAGACTGCGATATTGTATGTGTTGAACGAAGATGCGAGTTCCCTCCCACTTCCGCCTGATACCCCGGATGAGGCAGTGCTGCGGCTTCGCGGCATTGGGGATGTCTTTACGAACCCTGCCATTGGTCGCAACCTGAGCCTTTACATACGGCAGCGTCAGCTGCGGCAAGAGATGACGCAAATTCGCTGGCGCAAAAACTATCAGATTGTCCGTCAGATTGGTGGGGGCGCCTTTGGTGATGTCTACGAGGTTTATCTCTTTGTCTCGCAGGGGCGGTTGGCGATGAAGCGGTTGTTTCTCAACGGAGCCAGTAATCGCCTTCTGGAGCAGCTGAATCGCGAGGTGCTGATTATGAGTCAGATGGACCACCCAAATATAGTGAGTTTTTCTCACTCCTCAATGGAGGACAACGCCTACTGCATATTTATGGAGTTGTGTGATGGCACCTTGGGGCAGCGTCTGCAGCGGGGCTTCGCGACAATGCAAGACTCACAGCGACTTCAGAAACCGCCACTACCACGTTTGTCAAATGGCGCCTCGTTTCCACTGCAGCCAGATGGAAACACAAGTAATAGGCCGGATACAGAGCCTGACGAGTTGTCTAAAATTCCAGAGCCTCTTACTGCAAGAGAAATAGTGCTTGTTTTGCGCGATATCGCGAGTGGTATTGCCTACATGCATTCCAAGGGCATCGTACATCGTGATATAAAGCCTTGCAATATTCTCTTCTGTAGTGGCGTGGCAAAGATTGGAGACTTTGGTTCCGCCGCCGAAGAGTGCACTGCGAAGCCGCTTGTCAACATGAAAGGCACTTTGGCGTATATGTCGCCTGAGGTGTTGCTGGGTGAACCGTATGGGCGACCATGCGATATGTGGTCCTTTGGATGCTTACTGGCGGAAATCATTGGGTTACGTCTCGGCCATCTACAGGGGCTACACTTTCCTGCCCTTGTGGAGTTATACAAGTCTATCCCCCAGGCTGGAAGTCTGCCCATCACCGTGGCCAATTACAAGGGTGGGAAACTGCAGCACCACTTTGGGAGCACCACAACGCAAAAGATATTAGGGGCCATGAAAGACGCCTGCCATGACGCTTATAGCAAGCGGGGTGAGAGTCCTACACAGCGTCGTTGCGCGACCTCCATTATTGCGAAGGATAGACTGCTGTCTAATGAGAATCAGACGTCGTCGGATGACAAACTTCAAAGTAGCATGGGCTGTGACAGTGCGAGGGCAGTAACGTATATAACCAGCAATAGTACAACATTTTTGGGCTCCGAAAAGACCGAACTACCGGAAAGTCTTGTGGAGTTATTGGAAAATCTCCTTCACCGTGACCCGCAGAAGCGTATGACCGCGGAGGATGTGCTGCACCACCCTGCGACATGGGATGTTGAGTGGATGGAAATGGTGATACGTGCCGTGGAGGAGGTATGTTCTCTCGACATGGACGACGCCCTGGTAGACGCTTCCCAGGGCGAAACCAGCGCTGAGAGAGAGGAAAACTTGGATCTATCCATCTCTTCTGTATAAAAACGGGCAGGCAGTCTCTCCTTTGCGTTGCGCGTCTCCTCTGGGCTGTTGTAATTTTTCTCTCATATGTTGTTTTGATTCTACGCCTTGCCGTTTGGGCTGCATTTACTGATGTTGCTTCTGCGCCTTTGCAGCTGTTGGTAGCCGGCGGTCTCACGTGTGTGGCCTGCAAAGGAGGCAGAGCTACGGGGCATGCGTGTGGAGAGAAAAAGTATGCAAAGTGGGTGGGGGAGGGAGGGTAAAGGGTGCGTTCCACCCTCCACCTGCGGGGGTGGTGGCAGGCTGAGTTTCTCTTGTCATGGCTTTGCCTCCTTTCATGCGTTACCTTTGGTGGGGTGCGTGTGTATTATTCCACACCCCCGCCAACCCTTCGTCTTGCTTTCCGCGCAACGCGCAACCCAACAAGAGGAGAAAGTTATTGCCATGCTTTCTTTTTATACTTATACAGACAACCGTAACGCACTTCACACGCATTTGTGCATTCAATTTGTTGGCCTCTACCGCTTGCATGGTACATCTGTTCTTTGTACCAGCTGCCGGGGTAGGCATTAACAAAAACTTACCCACGGCAGCAAACAAACAAAAAAAAATGCCATCAATGGAGTCAAATTGAGTGTGTGTGTGCGTGTGTGTATTACTGTTGCGTAATTGTTCATTTTGACTTGTTTTTTTTTTTTGTGGTTATTGTCCTCTTTACACACGCGTCGCTTCCCATACACGAGTGTGTGCGGAGATGCCGGTGAGGTTGTGGGAACTGCACCGAAGCAATGAAGTATGTGTGTGTGCATGTGCAATGTACGTGAGGATGCTATGAGGTATGCGCAAAAGTGAGAAGGAGAGTACTCTTGAGTGGTGTGCGCTGGTGCTTTTAATGTAAGTGAAGAAGAAAAAGTATACAAAAAAAAAATGTGTTCTCAAAGAAAAAGTGCGTCTGGCATATTATCTTTTGTTTTGTTGTTAGTGAATTTTTATTTCCATTTTCATTTTTATTTCCGTTTTCATTTTTATTTCCGTTTTTGTTTCTTGTTTTTTTTTTATCTTTTCAGTTGTTTAACTTAATTTTACTGGTTTTTTGTGTGTTTGTTCTTGATATTGCGTTTTTTTTTTCTTTGCGGCTGCTTTTTCCACACGGTCATGTAATTGGAGCAGCGGGGGATCTCGCTGTCGTCCCAGACTCTATCCGTTCTTTTTTTTTTTGTGTGTGACGCCGTGCGTGCGTGCCTCTTGGGGAAGCTGCGGGGAAGGGCCCTGCGAGAGGGAGTGTGGGATGCATGGACGGCCAACCTACACCTGACGCAGTGGGCGAGCACAAGGCCCTTACTTTGTTGTTGTCGTCGTCGTTCGTTTTTTTTTTTTTTTTTGCCTCGATGCAGTGGTGCAGACAGCCGCAAAGGCAAGCAGGGCAGGGAATGCAAGGTGGCGGAATGGCGGAGGGAGCCGGCAGTTGTGAGGCTGTGTGGAGCCGCAGGGTGGCACGGCTTCGGTGAGGAGGTGAGCCGCCGCGTCGACGTGCGTGGTCCGTCGCGTGTGCGCGCACGCGCCCACCCACCCACCCACACACACACACACACAACCAGGCACCTCCACCCACACCGTCGTGTAGGTGCCCTTCACCGCGTGTCGCCGCAAACACCCAAAAATGATGCAGGCTCTGACGGCCAGATGATGTTTTTTTTTTGCTATTTTTGCCCGTACAGTGACAGAAAGAGGCTTTTGGCTTGTTGCTGATCGCGTGGTTACCGCCGGCCTCTCTTAACCCCATCACTACCACTTTTTTTCTTCTTCTTCACCGTTTTGTTTCTTGCGTGTAGAGCGGAGGGAGAGAGAGAGAGGCGGGGCTCAAGTGCACGTTACTCTGCACTGCCGTGCCTCGGGCAGGGAGTCCACAGGGCGTGGGGAGAAATCGAAGAAGAGGCAAAAGTGGGATTTTGCAAACAAGGTAACACGAGCAAGAAGCCACACGAGCACACATAAAGCAGGGGAGAGCAGTTCAGTGAACCTCCGTCGTGCACCGCGTCGTGTCAAATAACATAACCCGCTGGACGCGCCTTACAACGCAACGGAGGCGAGGTACACGGAGACACGCCAATGGCAGGTCACTCGCCGCACGAGAGCCCAAGTGAGACGATGTCGGCACCTATGAGTTCCTCCCGCGTCATGTGGAAGGGGTGCGGCAGCCACCACCCTTCCCAGAACTGGTCCAAGTCACGGCCCAAAACCTTCCATCGCGATGACCGCGTCCCCTTCAAGGCCTCGATGGAGGATAAAAAGAAGACCCCGGATGTGAGTTGGGACGACGCGTCTCTTAAAGGATCTACGTCTGTGCAAAGCAGCGCGCGCGGCAGGGCATCTCATGTCTTTGGTAGCAACTCATCCGCCCTTACGCAGCGACATCTCGATCGACATGTGCGGCGCAGCGGGACGGCGTCGTGTAAACCGGAGGGACCTCCGCAGGGCCACTATACCATGGAGGAGTGGGAGTTGATGCTGGTGTCAGAGGGGAAACAGAGATTAACAGAGTGCTTCAATACGTTAAACTCGCAGAGACGTGCTACTAAAGACCACTCAACTGGTGACATGGCGACGGTGTCCAAAGGCGCACAGGAGACCCTGCAGGGGTGCCACGGTGCATTGCCCGCCTCCGCCGAAGAGGAAGCAGAAGAAGAACTCATTGCACGTTTTTACGAGGACCAGAAGGCACGCTGCCGGAAGCAGCCGCCACAGTTGGGCAATGAACCCCTGTCGCAGCCGTCGTTGACGCGGGCCGGAAATCCCACGCCCCCGAATTTTAAATTGGGCGATCAGACGCATGCACGAAACCCGTCCAGCGTGGCGTCATTGTTCCACACCCCGCACCTCCCACAAGAACTCGCTGTGAGGGATTACAAGAAAAGTGCAACCGAAAGCGCAGCGAACACAACAGTTCCAGAAACGTCACTTCGTTCCCGACAAAAATATAGTGGGGACACAATTGCAACACTAGAGGAATTCCGTCTTCAAGTTCTGCAGCAAAAACTTCAACGGTGCACTGAAATAAATAAAGCAAACACAACGCCACCTTCTGACATGCCACATACGCTACAGAACTCACCCATTACAACAAGTACAGACACAAAACTGCAACTTCCAAACCACGACAAGACGCAGCCAAACACGATCCATGCACATTTATTTCCATCCATGCCTACTACCGCAGCCACCGTCTACGAAATAATCCATAATAGCAAAGAGGTCAAGGGTACAGCAATACCAAACAACATCACACTCCAACAAGTTACATTGATCTTTCAAAAAGAAGCGCGCAGCCGCGAGGACATTGAGCGGGCAGAGGAAGCAGGGCGCCTTGCTGCCCTTGAAGCCATGCAGAGCGGTGCAACAGCCATTGCCTCTGCAGAAGCGTTGGGCCTGACGGAGGAGCGCGGTCGCGAGGACATTGAGCGGGCAGAGGAAGCAGGGCGCCTTGCTGCCCTTGAAGCCATGCAGAGCGGTGCA